CGATGTAGAAATTAAACTACCCTCACCACACCATATCTACAACCGTGAGATAGGATACGAGTGTGAAGAAATTCTTGCACTATACAGGGCATTTTCTAAAATGAATTGAATTTTTATATTACCAAATATAAGTATTTTCTCTATCCCAGTCTATAAGACATCTTTTAGCAAAATTACATATCGACAAAATTCATTAAATATGCTTTACAATTTTATTTTTAAAAAACACTAATATAAATTTCCAAAGATACTCTTCTTAATATTACTTTATTTGTGAAAAATTAAATAGAGAGATAAAATATGATATGGAGGGAAGGATTATATTGAAATTGTATAATTAGTAAAAACTTATTTTTATCAAAATATTTTATATTTTGAAATATTAAATTATCTCTAAAAATATTTTATAAACTGGGATGGAGAGAGTATTTTCTTATGTTCTATGTGTTCTCATGATTTATAACATGTGACATTTTCTAAAAGTCCTGTTTAGTTCAAAATATATAGAGTATGAGACAGATTTTATAATTTTTTAATTATAACCTTCATTTATTTTTTCTTTTGAAAAAATGGTCAATTGAAATTTCAATTATTATTAAATTATTTATTTAGGGCATTTAATGAAAGTGTAATTAGAAATGTGAACATTTTTTTTAAAAAAATTAAAATTTCAACTAAGTTTTATTTTAAAATCATGAAGTAATTAATAATGTTAATCTATATTGTGAATTATTGGATGTGATATAAGTTACTTCTAATCGCTCATCGGTGTCAATGAGTGGTGGCTAAATTATCGATGTTCTCCAAAGAAAAGAAATCTCTCCATTCACCAATATTAGATAGCTCATCTTTAATAAAAACACTTTACCTCTCATGTGCGCATGTATATGTAACTTTATGTTTTATTTTTAGAAGATAACTTATATATAAAATTAAAGGAAATACATTTTATAATTTTTGGGCCAAAGGTACGTTTGGTACAAGTCTCTTCTAGTCCTATTTATAGGGTAAAAAGAGAAAAACAATTTTTATTTTAGTTATAGGGCATTTGTCAATTTCAAATGTTACGTTCCTATTTATATTTTTACTTTTATTAAATATTTTAAATAAAAATATTATTAATAAAATTTAAAAATATTTATTAAAAGTAAAGGTGAAAACTTGTTAATTTTTTAAGGCAAAGTTAATAAAATTTAAAATTTTTATAAATTTTAATAAAATATATTAAAAGTAACTTATAAATAAGATCAGAGAGAATATGTCTTAAATAGAACAATTTATTTCTTACTTTCTAGTATTATTAATGAATTATATGATGTCAGCACTTTATGGAGTGTAAGAGATGATTTGAAAGATAACATTACTTTTCAACGTGTTTTAAATTTAATAAATAAACATGCAATTTTAAACGAATAGTATGTGAGTGGTCCTCTCCTACTTATGTGACTTGTTCACATATTATAATAGTATTAAAAGAGGATGGTTGGAATTTGAAATAATCATAATAAATTGTACATTTGAAATTCTAAAGGAATGAAAATAAAAAATTTGCTTGGATTTAAATTAATTCAAAATTCATAAAATTTTATGTATCCAAATAATATATTTGGTCGGGGTCCAAATCCTTGCTAATTCAAACATAACATTATACAATTTTTTTCCAATTTTACAACAAATGCTTTACTCAACAAGATTGGGAGATTAGTTTTTTTTTGCCAATAAATTCATATAATACATAGGAAAATTACTTCATGAGGTTATGATTAAAATTTTTTGAAAGAATTTAATATCTAATAAGAACTTCTCTAACAAATAAACATTATTACAAATTAATAATTAATACGTAAAGTTTAAGTTTTATTAAGTATCTGATCTGTTCAAATCTTTAGCTTATTTAATATCAATGGCTGATCTAGGACTTGGAGTTAGCCACTCAGGGTGGTAGAATTTTTTTTTTCCTGTTTTTTTGATGAGACAAATGATCGATATAGAATCCATCGATAGCAAAATTTAATTTTCCCCTCATATTTAATAAGTAAATGGAACTATATGGACTAAGTTTTTAACACGCGCAAGAGTTTAGATTTGAAATTCAACTACTGCATGTTTAAATAATAATGAGACTTCTATACCATGTATATCAACTTGATTTACTAAAAAAATTAAACAACAAATTGCATGTATAAAGATAAAAAATATTTAAATCTATATAAACGATTTTATTAAAAATATAAAAAAAATTAACAAATAAAATAAGTGGTTCAACTAAAAATATAATAATTAAACGGTTCGATATAAAAATCTCCACAAAAAATAATCACTCAAAATACTTAAATTATTTTAAAATCTCAACCCTCTCCAATTACCCATTGTTAAAAATTTTAATGATCTCATCATTAACTCCTCGAAATATCTTAAATTTAAAGTTCTAGATACAACTATAATTCGTATTCTCTTTGACAAACTTTATACTCCTACATCTCAGCTGGACTAATTAAGGTGATTGTCATCTTTCCTCCCCTCTTTCTTCCTCTTCCCTTGATCCATTTTTTTTTTTTTTGGATCAGTGAGTTCAAAATTAACAAATCAGTACAGCGGGGGAAGATTAAAACCCAGTTCATACACATCTAGGACCGCCCCGTCTCATATTAAATTCTTTTAATGGTCCTTAATTCATATTGGTGCACGATAATAACCTATGCTTATCACTGTGATCTGCTGGAGTCGTGGTTTATTTGTCATTAATCCTGATGAGAGAAAAAATATCATTGAGTAGGTCAATCATGCATCGAAATAATTTGCCTCGGGAAACTTCATGTGCGTAAAAACAATCACTTTATCTTTGGAACTGCGATGAGAACTACAGGAAGCTAGGCTACTAACAATTAAAGACTTTGCTCCGAGATGCCTATAATCGATTCGAGCGTGCAAAATTCAACTAGAAAGAACAAAGGACAAAAGACATTTAAAATATTGTGGGAGATCTATTAGGGCTCCAAAATTAAAAGTAGCCATAGATTTTAGGCAATAGCTTATGGCCTCCAAGTTTATTTCCACTTTCTTTGGACCATTACAACTAAGTGATCCCCTAGCTACCTCTAAAAAGTAGTTTCCTTCTTATAAGCAAACAAAAAGATAACCCTCATTTTTTTTTTCATTTCAAGTGAAGGCCAGACACGTAAACAAGATCAATTTAAGGATCAGTAATGACTGTTAATTCTCGAAAATGCAATTTAATTACAGTTAATGCTTACATTTTTTCTTAAAAATGATGCGTTGTAGTTATATATCGATTTAAATGTGAGATTCTCAATTGCAAAACACTGGGAGTAACCTATGAGATTTAAATACTTGACAATCGAGACTTTCGAAATTTTTATTTTCTTGGTACCTACTAATAATAATTTCATGTCGTCAAATTAATCTTTTGAAAATCTAAGTGTCATTTCCCCCATCAACTTATTTACATACGATTGATGAAAATTGGTTATGATTTGGCAATTGCAAGAATTTTACGTAAGTAGATTAAATCTTGCTAAAATAATTAACCTTGAGTTCCATAAATAACCTTGAGTTACCATAAATACATGTCGTTCAGATGTTCATACTTTATATAGAGAAATATAAGGAAGCAAAAGTAATTAACAAGTAATATGCTTCGAATATCCATTGCAACTCACTGTATGTCTTAATTGAATGTCCACTCAATTATTAGAAAATTAAAAAGTAAAAATAAACAATTTAAGTACATGATATAAGGATAGAGACTTTAAGCTTTGAGTAAATTAAATATACAGCTTTAACAATGACGAGTGCAATTTCTTTGTTAACTAGTGAGTGATTTACGTCTTTGATTATAACCTGTGGCCCCTCAATTTACCAAACATTTTGAGCATTAAAGCCGTTCGTCTCTTTTATTTATTTATTTACTTATTTCCCCCCATTATTCGTCACTCCATTATTGAGGGTTGAAGTCCTCATCTTAATTTAACTTGATCCAAAACCCAATCAACCGGTTAAAGAAAAATAAAGGCATTAGTTAATTTGTACTTTGTTTTATTAAAGAAAGTGACGCATTGTTGGTCCATGAATAGTACTTAATAGGGACAAGTTTCATGGTTTTTATAAACATGTTGTTTAGTCTAATTCTTAATCTAATTAAACTAATAAATATGGATTCAGATTCCGATTCATTGAGTGTCCTAATTCTCTCACCCAATAATAAATGCCTCACATGACATTAGAGAGATCGTTGATTCAATCAAATGATTTTCAAAAATATTAGTACAAGACATAGAAAAAAAAAAATCAAATCACAATTCTATCTTTTTCTGTATCATATATCACAATCCAACTATTCATATGGTTGTAGGAAAATAGTTGAAATGCATTCCCACAAAGCTTCCATTTAACTCACCATTTCATTTATTTTTAGTTAGGTGTAAATTTTCAAGCGTAGATGAAATCTTACCACTACATTGTGAACACCCACTAAATGAGAGGATTTGAAAGATTTATAAAGCCCATATTTTATTAATAGTATGTGGCTTCAAATTGTATAAAAGTTGAGACAAGTTCCTGCAAAAAAGTTAAAAAAAGGAGAGTGCACTTGGACAACAAGAAAACCTCCTCAATAGACCATTGCTTGACCAATGATTTTGGCATCTACCATTTGCCTTCTAATAACGACACCTAATCATAATCATGCCATTAATCATCTCAATTTACATTATTGGCCCCATCATAATTGATAATGATCTGGCCGGAGCATCTCCGTCATTTCACTCGTCTACTTTATTTTAAGACTGCAAGCTTTTCTTTTTGCGCTTTTTTTTAACTTGGTTAGGTTTCTTCCTATGTATGCATTTATAATGATTGATTTTAGATTGTGTTGCGTAGTGTTCTGATTTATCATTTATGGGTCGTCCTGTCCATCTAGAGTTTTGGAATGTGCACCACAAAAGAGAGCGTGATAATTTTATATCCGAAGAAAATCAAGCTTAAAAAAGAGGGCTTTATAAATTTGGATCAAGGCAACATCAATATTAACTCAACCTAATAAATATATAAAATCATATATATACTTGAATAGTTAACACACTCACTAGACTAGCCAGCTATAACACTTATATATAATGACTAATGACAAACTTTCTCTGGTTTTGAAAATACGTAGCCCAATATTTTTCAAAACCATCTCTCTCTCTCTCTCTATTTTCCCAAAAAAGAAGGAAAAAAGGGGGGCCGATATGTCTAGCTGCTTTTAATTTACATAGACCCAACTTGAAGACAAGTTCTTTGCCTCAGAATTAACTCTAATATTTGATGCTGTATTCTATGATTTATTTAATTGGTTAATTAATCATGATCATTGCTCCGATCTCCTGATATATGGATAGGCTTATTCTGTCGTGAAAATAGTCGTACTATTGCATGGCCATGCAGACGAAGCGAAGGGCTGGAGAGCCAAAATTTGAGTTATGCTGTGGAGTTTTTGTCTGAGCCGGGTTTGCTCGGACCGGAGCCACTCGTTTTCCGTGCTCACTCGGTTATAGTGATGCAGAAGAAACTGCAACCTGCTGTTGAGTTCCCGGTTCTGGATTCTGAACCTGTTCACCTGCAACCTTAAGTTCTCCAGATGCTTCTGTTTACGCATGCGCGACCGCCTCGCCGACTCTCGGTTCGATATCATTCTCCGCCTTTTGCGCTCTTCCAGAATGGAAGGCACCACCCGTTTCTCGTCGTCGGAGAGCGCATGGGGCTGGAACTTTCCGGCAGGCTTGACGGGGGAGGTTATTAGGATGTCCGGGCACAACCCGGGGACGGAGCCCAGGTCCTCCCAGGGAGCAGGAAAAGAGCCTTCCAAGGCCCAGAAGGGGTTATTGAGGAAAGGATCAGAAGCTGGAAGAGTGGAAACCATGGCTGACACGCGCAGAGATTTTGTTCTTACCAGAGGGGGGTGGAAGGAAGGAGGGAGAAAGGGAAGAGACGCATTGTAGGGGCTTTGCTTTTATAGCAAGAAATCGGGGCATGCACAAGCAATTACAAGATTTTTCTTGGGGTATTTTGGTCATAGGATGGCATTTTCCTTTTGAGTCAGTCGGCACTAAATGGTGCGTTGAGGTGACGTTAGCAAGTGGGTCCCGAAAAAGATAGCGACATAAGCTTCCACGGGAAGGAAAAGTAGCAACTGGCATCGCGCTGCACACGTGGAGAGTGTGTTATTGGTTGAGGCGTCCCATGATTGATGACGTGGAGGAGCAGTGCGATACTGTGTTGCTGCATGTTGCACCGGTGCATTCAAAAGGAAAAAAATAGCGAAAGCTTGTGGGCCACAAGAAGAAATATTAAAGGATTAATATGCTGAAAGCTGAGGTTAATGAATCCAGTAATTAACTCTATATCCTAGTGACGTCTCATTATTAACTATATTTATTTTCTTCCAATCATAAGTCTTAATTATAATTTATCTTAATGACAAGTGGTGCTATGAAGTTGATCGTTTCGGAAGAGTACGTAATTAATGACGATTTAATCTCAGCGAGAGGATATAAAAAATTGTTGGTTACGGTATGAGAGTTTCAGGTTTTCAAAATAGACTCCGGTTTTCAGCAAATTGTCCAAATGATTTATGATTATACTGTACTCCATATATATATATATATATATATTATGATGATGATAATACATACGTATATAGATATATGAATTTCGAGAATATATTGAATTAAGGAACATCATATATAATAAATATTATATATTATCATTTTGTCTTCTATCTTTTTCGTGCGATTTCGAGCCAATGTGTGGAAATTATATACATTGTAGATGATGACCTCATGAGGGAAAGATGTCCTGCATGTGCTTTAGGGGAAAAAAAAAAATATGTATGTTGAAGGTGATGAGATGGATATATAGTTTTATAAGTGAAGTATTAATATATAGAGATCTCTTTGCAACATACAGAGTATCTTGGATATGGGGAATAGACATACATATGAGAATAAAGGCTAGCTATCAAAATTGTGAGAGCCTGAGAGAATCTATAGGTTAATGGAATCACATATGACATAAAGCCTAATAAATCAATTACATTAGTGTTTAGGCTACATGTAACATATATAATATAATATGATATGATATGATATGATATAACAAATAACAAATTAATGAACTGCTTGCCATCGTATACTACAATTTTAAAACGTATTATAAGATTTCGGAATAGACGTAACATGTTAACCATTTTGGTCACCGTTATGTGTTGGTTATTCCGAAATCTTAGAATAACTTGCGGGTCATAGAATGTATTATGGTTAACATGCGAACCTGATATTTGATTTTTCTTTCCCTCCAAGGCTTTTATAGCTCTCCTGTGTACCAAAAAAGGGGATTAAAAAACAAAGAAACACATAACGGTAATACAAAATGGATCTTGTGTTGTTTCTAACTACAATTTCAATTAAGCAAAAGTGAAGGATGTAATCTCCCAACTCTAATCATCATTAACTCCATAAACAATAGAAATTAAATCAAGGGTCTAACAAAAAAGGATTACCAAGTTTTCACGAACTGCACAAAAGGAATAAACAAATTTAACAATTTACAAATGAGATTTTAAAATTTCAATATTGAAAACATACCCAAAGAACTTTGCAAAAAATATCAAAACTCATTTTATATGCGGAAGCATAAGATCATAAAAAAAATTAATGCAAAAAATAGCACATGCGCTGTGGCTTAACTCTTTCATCCAAAACTAAGAAAGATATGTTAGCCACATGAAGGTGGGGTTCTTGCCATGGCAGTTTAGGTAGGAGTCAAAGGTTCAAATCCTCTCAATATAAAATGAATAAAAATGTACACATAAAGATATTAATAATGATGTTTTCCTTTCATTTAGATCAAATTTAAATTTTATTTTATTTTTCATTTTAAAGAAACCAAATCATCATATGTAGAGAATTAATTAAAAAAAATACATTTAAACTACATTTTGGGATGTATTTTTATCAAATCCAACAAATGGTTTCTTCTCCAGATTGAACTTTTGGAGGATTGTAAATTAAAAAACCAATCATACACCAAGTCATCCATATTTTATGATAGAGATAAACAACGACGTAACTTATTAATTATGACTATATAAGAAATGAACAAAGATCTACACATGTAGCTTGTCACATGAATTTTAGAAATGCAGCTACTGATAGGAAACAGCTTATCATTCTTTATTACACAGAAGGTAAAAGAAAAGAATTCAATCCTTTTAAAGTTCAGAATATCTGAAATTGATGAAGTTGAACTGAAAAAATTACAATATTTTGTCTTATATAAAAAAATATCAATATACTTTTCACTAATTTTGGAGGCTCAGCTTCAAATATGGAAGACTGCACGTGACAAATTAAGAAATTTTTTTGCATAAACCCGATGCACTATATGTCATCCATGTTCTATGCAATAAAATTATACCAGATCAATCAAATAAAAATTCATGTGTCATTTTTATGACGTTCCTTTTGGAATTTAATAGGGTGCCTTTTTAACCTCTCATTTTTTCTCTCTTTACTATTATTAATGACAAAATCAATTTATATTTACAACACATGGCATATTTTTATCGGATAAAGTATGAATGACCAAGTACGCTGGCTACATGCAAGAATTTCTCCTTTCACAAATGCCTAACCTTAAAACATGTTTGCTGCTCTAACACGAACGTAAAAGGCGCATGATGGTGTTTCTGTCTCATGGCTATGCGCCTTTTTCTTCTGTGTTCAAAGAGTAATCCACAAACAAAACCAATACCAAACGCTCACACTCGTCAACAGCAAGTTGAATTGATTCATTTCATGCTGGAGTCCTGATTCTACAAGAAATGTCACCTTTAATTGCAGCTAATTAAATTAACAGATAAAATAATTGAGTCAGCGAGGTTTTGACGAACGAGTAAAGATAGAGCATGTAGGTGGGCATGTACTTATTAACAATTATGTATATAAGCATTATGAAAGCAGCGAGTTTTGGAGATTGTTGGCCTAAGATTGACCCACGTGGGTGTCTCTGTTAATAGGCTAAGATATTACGGAAAGAAGGTGGAATGTGGCAAGCAATATGCATGTGATTGATAAAGGAGCATCACTAAAAGTAAAGACGGGAAATACTCATCAAAGAGGAAAAATATACACAAAAAATAAAAAATAAAGGAAAAGACAGACAAAGGGAAAAACAAAGACAGGTCTATAGCATTCGTAGATTTGTAGGGCTTTTTGCTTTCTCTTTTTGCTGTAGCCGCCCCCTCAATACCTAATTTGCATATGCAAACCATGTATTCTGCGCCAAATTAGATCCTTTCGACTACCACTGATAAGATAAAGTAGTAAGAGATTCAATGCTCCTTTAAAGATCCCAAGTCATTGTATTTTGATTTGTGCCTTGTTAATGGAATACATTACGTTTTTGCGAGGTTTTCCTCAAATGGACCTTCATGATATGACTTGCATTTTTTTTTTTTTGGAATAGACAAGGTCATGGTTAAAACCGTACAATTACAAATTGGTCGCGAGAAATTCATGCGTAAAATTTTCTACATCTTGACAGAGGAAAATTGAAAACCCAACATTGAAGTTATCATGCACGGCTTGATTTACAAGTCAGTTAGCACATCGATTCACTTATATAAAAACTTATGCCAGTTTACTCACATGGAAGATTTTTTTAATAGAAGTGGAAGTGGAAGAGAAATGAAAGAGGAAGCGGAAGTGAGGTGAAAATTAAATGAGGTTTTAAAACAAATAGAATTGAGTCATTTTTTATAAGGGAAGTGATCAAGGAGAAAGTGGATTCCATGCATATGAAGGTGGAAGTCATGAATAGAGTTGGTAATTTAGACCGTGCCTAATGGACTAGTCCAAAACTACATGAAAAAAGTTAGAGTTGAATTTGACTATATTTATTATTCTAAAAGAATATGATACTTTAAACACAATTTGAATAAGCATAATTGCTAGAATTATAGACTCTATATGTATATAGAATCAATAATTTTAGCCAAGCTTGAATTCTAGCTGAAAAAAGTTGGAGTCAAGCTTTTTCAAAAGAGTATGATACATTAAATTCAATTCAAATAAGCTCGGTCTGAATTAAGTATAGCCTAATAATAAGCTCGACTCGCTCGAATTACCAACTCTAGTCATAAGTTCCATCAATTTTGATAAAATTATATTCTTTGAAAAAGTGAAATTCATGGTACCAAACAAATTATTTTTTCAATTTCGCTTACACTTCTTAAATCTCAATTCCATGCTATCAAACAGTGCATTACGCTATAGAGACCTGCCAAACACACATAAGCAAACTTCTAATCATTCTTATAATACTAATGAGAGAATGAGCCTGCATATTATATTCGTCTCGTATGAGATGGATAACTTTTTTGTATGACTCACATTTAAATGAGTTAAGATATAAAATGATTTATTACAAAATTTAAAAAACTCTCAATTTCTTACAATAGAGAATATTTAATTGGACAATTGAACTTTTTTTTTTCAAATTTAGGATAGAACATGGAAAAAAGATTAAAAATATATAAACATTAGAAGTTAGAACTGCTTTCTTTCTTTTCTTTTCTTTTTTTTTTTTAAATTCACGAATTGATTTTCAAACACATGATCTGTCGCATGCAACAAGAAAGTCACTCACTATAAATATAATAATAATAAAAATAAAAAAGCGAAAGAGAAATATGATATAATAAAAGTAGTATATCTTGACCCAAGACCCCAAAGTCCATTTAATCCTCTCTATTTTCTGGGGACCAAGTGTTCTCCACTTTGCTGCATGTAGTGAAGAGTTAAGCAACGAGAAAGCCAACCACTCATTTTAACAAAATAAAACTGAGAAAAAAGAAAGAGAAAGTTTTGTATAAATAAAGTACTCCTGAACAGCAATATCTCAGAGACTCCAAAAATCCTTCATTCTCTTC